GCCCCGGCTGCGTGGAAGGGCTGGGGCAGGGAGCGGGAAGGGCCCCGCACTGCCACCTACGGGAGAGCCTTAGAGGGGCACGATTCGCAGCACTTAACGTGCGGAACGGGGCGGGTCTGTGCAGCAAACGGCTTCCATCTTAGCGCCATGGCCCCAGGCCCCGAGATCGCAGCGGAGATCTGCTCGGGCCAGGGGCCGCGGCCCGCACACGCCCTCCGGGGTAACGGGCTGCCTGGAGCAGGCACCAGCCTGTTCTGCCAGCAACGCTCTGACCGAATTCACCGGTAGGTCTCAGCAACAGAGCCAACCAAAAAAAACCAACCAGCCACCCCAAACCAACACAAGAACACACACACACAAAATAGAGCAGCAAGACGTGCAGCCCAGAAAAGCTGCGTTGTCTCCATCCATAGATACATCCCAAGGGATGTGCTCTAAGCAACCTGCTGGAGCTGTGGCAGGCAAGACACTCCAGCAGTCCTCCAGCCTGCACGGTGCTGCAACTCTATATGGTAACAAACAAACAGGCAGCTAAAAACTATGTAAAGATAGAATAATAAATGAAACAACCAACCTTTCCTTAAATGCTTTTCGTTCTAAAAACACAGTTTTATACTTGGCGAAATGTCTTAACTCCTGTTTCTCAGATTCTTACAAATATTACCAAATCTCTTCAATGTATAATATTCAAGGTATACACACTACTGTTTATCAAGTCTGGATAAAACTTCATTGCAAGTCCCATAACATTACAGGTAAACTGGTCTAATGTTGGTATTCTCCACATTTTTAGGAGCACATATAAATCCAATCAGAAGTTCAATGCCTACCCACTAAATGTCACAGCTGCTAAGTGCCAACACTCCTCAAGTTTCAGTTCCCCAAAAAGAATTACTTGAAGAGCCAACATCCTCTGTGGGTCCTCAAGCCCCTGTTAAGTCTTATTGGGAATTATTATTTGTTTTCTGTCCTTTAATCAGCATTAGTTTTGTAACTTTACTCCCATCTTCCTTTGTCCCAAATTTCCAAAGAATGATAAACATTGGTATCAAATTAACATAAAACTCTTTCCTATCAGTTTTCCTGTTATAATCTACCTATCAGGCTCAGGTAGTAAGGATGCTTAAATTCAATATTTCATTGATGTTACAATTTATCCACCATTATATACACTTCTTTCCAAAGCTGTTTTTTTTTTTTTAAAAAAAAAAAAACCAAACACAAAAAAACCAATTTCCATACAGTAAATAGAATCTACATGTTTAACTCTGATAGATTATTGGATGCCACCTTTTCAGTAGGTTATTTATGACACCATTCATGCCTCAAGAGCCAATCAGGGATGATGGGGGGCAGGGGTTCCTTCAAGCCAAACTTCTAAAGTAAACAAGCAGATAATTGTGTGCATATATGCAAAAGCAACAGAGGGGAAATAGTGTAACCTTTGCACCACCTTTACCCCTAGCTGAGCTTTACTGTGCAGTTTTAGACAAGAGAGAACAAAACAGAAGGCCTCACTCATCTAAGCAGCCAGTTTCCTCGTTTTATCACAAGGCATATGACTCTCTACACAAGAGCTCACACTTTGCCTCAGTAAAGATATTATAATGCATGAGAATTATTAAGCAATAAGCATCAGCTTATATTCAGCAGCTCTAGCATTCTATATAGCAACTAACACCCAAAAAAAAAAAAAAAAAATCGGTGACTTCTGGCTTAAGCTCTACTACTTAGTGAAGCACCTTCATACCAGTGAGAAGCTGACAAAGATAACATACCAAATATGTTTGCTCTTCCCATATACATGCTCAGTCAATAAAACTATGTTGATTACTGGCAACTACTCACTAAATCAAGTGCATATTAGTCACTCCATTATTCTCATCATTGACTGGAAAATAATGAAGTCAAAACACTTGACAACTGGAAGATCAGAGAAGCTGATCATCTTCTAGTTCCATTTCAGATAAAATGGCCAATTATTACCTTTGGGACAACACTGAAGAGGAACTAGCACTGCTAATGAGAACTAGCGTGCATAAAAAATTATCTAAATGGAAACAGGAAGCCAGAAACAAAGAGCTTGGACATTAAACAGCTACAGAGAGGAGAACAGTAAAAATTAATTGTTCAAGTTTTCTTCTGATCTGGCTTTTTAGTTTGTTCATGTTACCTTGCCAAGTAACATATAAAGAAAACTACAGATGCTGTAACTGATGATACTGAGGCACAGATGGAGTGTTACCTGTCCACGTGCAGAGCAGTTATTGCCAGTGACAGAATGCCAAAGTGTATGAATGGACATCTGTGTTTCATCACTGACCTCTGACCAAACCAACCAGCCCCAAAGTTGTCATGTTCTGCCCTCCTATGCGCCTCCCCCCAATGTTGGGCTGTTAATATATACCTCTTTAGAAAAAAATAATTTATTTCACCAAGAACGTACAGACCACCACAGATGAAGACTTAATATTTCTTCTGCAGAAGTTTGTCTTTACGGTGAATTCAGAAGTCTGTAAGACAGCTAAAAACACTGAGCGCGGCCCTTCAGTAAAACGGAGAAAAAGCAAGCGTTCTGTATCATCAACTAAATATTGACTTGATTGTAAAACAAATGCTATAGATGAAAATGTGGGGTTTCTCTCCCCAGCAGTTGGTATATATTTTACACTTCAGGCCAGAAAGCAGTACAGTTCAAAGTTCTACTCTGAAACAATTACACCAGTTCAAGCTGTCACTGTGATGTTAGTCCTTTTCCTCCCAATCCAACAGTCTCTAGTCCCAGTACTTCAGGACTGCTATTTACTAGCTCCTTCTCTTGCTAGTCTGTCAGCTTCTTCATTTCCTTGGAAGCCAGCGTGACCAGGAATGTGCATCTGTTAGGAGAAGAGGAGTGTTAGATATGCAAGAACTCAAGAGACAAGTACACATGGGAAATTGGACCACGCATCACTTTGATTCACAGTGCAGTGCCACCTTCTTAGAGGCCCTCTGCCCACACGTAGTCCACGTGTTCTTCCCAGTGATGTCCATAGTCTCCCTTCCTGTAGGGAAGTTTTACCAAACTGTGAAAGTCATCTTTATGGGAAGCAGTGAACTAGGTAAGGACCACCTAACCTAGCCTTTACGAAATGCAGACAACGGCTCCAACTCAGCATTCTGACTTCCAGAGAAGAGAGAAAAAAACAATCTGCATTCAGTGCTTAAACCAAGTTAAACTTCTTTTCCCAGGAAGCCAGAGACCTCTATGCCACTAATAGCTCCGGAGGTTACAGCACTCACTTCGCACAGAGAAACAGTGTATGAAAAGCATCCCTCAGTTTTCACATGTCTTAACTGTCCCTCCTTCAATTAGGAACTGAAAACACTTTCAAGACCACCCTTGTCAGAAGTAAGGGTGGAAGAGCCTGGAGGAGAAAGGAGAGGAAGAAAAACCAAGCTTACTACTTAAGGTTTGGGAGGGGACAAACATTAAATGTGTGAGAGTTTAAGGTTTACACAGCATGGTTTTGGTGCCAGGTGGGAGGCTGCAGGAGTGGCCTCTGAGAGAGGACACCAGGGGCTGCCCCTGTATTAGGGAGAGCTATTTCCAGCCAGCTCCAAAATGGACCCAACTGAGCCCTAAAGCAAAGCTGGTGGCTCCTCTGTGATAACATATTTGTGAAAGGGTAAAAATGCTGCACAATAGCCAGGGGGGAGTGAGAATGTGAGAGAGAACTCTGCAGACACCAAAGTGAGTGAAGAAGGAGAGGGCAGAGGTGCCCCAGGCACCAGAGCTGAGATTCCCCTGTAAGCCATGGTGAAGAGCAGGGTGAGGCAAGTTGTCTACTCCATCAGCCTCCATGCACTGCAGGAGCACATCCACCTGCAGCCCATGCAGCACCCCACGCCAGAGCAGGTGCACTACTGTAATAAAGTATATGCATACACTGCTCCTCTCAGAATAAAAATGTTCCTGGGTTTAAGAGATTCAGGTGTAAGCAATGTGTATAAAGCAACAATATTTTCTTCTTACTATTATGTAAAATACTCTAAGGGCAGCTGAAGTTTGGTCTTAGTTTTAAATTTTTACAGTTTTTTCTTAACAGTGATCAGGAGTAGTTACCTAAAAATCTACTCAGCCTATGAATTGGAGTTGCCAACTCAGAAACACAGAACATGAATGAAAGAATAGGTACAATAGATTTCCCATAGAAAAAGTGCACATTAAAGATCTACGTCACCTACAGAGTAAAGACAGAAGCCAAATAAATATGTTATCAGCAGCCACAAAGTCAATAGTATGGAGATTTATTTCTAGAACCAGTAGTCTTATACCACAATTAGAGTAAAATTTAGGAGTGGAGGGAAGATATCCTCTACAAAGTTTAACACTGAAAAATTCAGAAATTAAGCTGTGACTCAAAAAGACAGTTCTGGTTTAAGCTTGTATTTCCAGAAAAAGAAATTTCATACACTAACAAACTAAAATTATTTCAGGAATTTTCCAAGTAGTAATGAAAGAGTGAAAACAAATATAAACTTGCATTTTAATAGATGTAATACTGGTTCCAAGAGCCGAGGTTATGTTGCTTACTTGCTTTAAATAAGACAAACCACTTCTCCGAATTTATGGTTCTACTTGCAGATACACAATATTTTGCTCTACAGAATTCTTAGTTATGATCATACTTTTACAAGTTTTTACAAGAAGCATGTTTAAGATGTCAATAAGAAATGAGGTGCTTACCCACTGGATTTCTATGTCTTTTGATAGATTATCAAGTCTTTCAAAATCTTCTTTATTAATTACACTTCCTCCTGAACTTGTTCTCCAGCCATTTGTTTTCCAGTTGTCAACCCAACTGGTAATACCTATGCAAAGGAAGCATCACCATAAAAATACTATTAAAGAAGATAGGAAGGATTAAGATGGAGCAAACAGACTTTAGACAAAACATTAACTCCATACAAAGTCTTAGGCAAACACTGAAGACAAGATATTCTTGTTTGGTTCTCCACTGATGTCTTTCAGGACTGTATTTTTCCAATATTACTTGAATTACCCAATCATGTTCTCCCAAATAGATATTTAAAGACTAAAATCATCTATGTGTGTTACACTTCAAAACATGACATGAACTTCAATAAACTGAAGCTAAGGATTTGCTTGATGGTACATCAAAATAGAACAAATCTTTGGATTTGTTTTGAAAAACTGAGAGACACACAAGCATAGAAGAAAAACAGATGGCAGCCTGTCTTATGGCTTCTGCACGCTAAACAGAATCCTTCAGAGAAGGACTGTTCCTAAGCAGATTTCTACAGAACAAGATTTAACATCCCGGCCATCCCTTGCCAGCCAGAAAATTTACTGTGTTACTCCTTAAATAAGGAATTTTTCTCTTCTTTTTTAAATATCATAGAATTGAGTTTGAAATGACCTTTGAGATCATCATCCATTAACCTAACTCCAACTCCACTGCTAAACCATGGCACTAGGCACCATATCTACATGGCTTTCAAACACATCCAGGGATGGTCATTCAACCACTTCCCTGTGCAGCCTGTTCCAGTGCTTCATAAACTTTTTGGTGAAGAAATTTTTCCTAATATCCAACCTAAACCTCCCCTGGTGTAACCTGAGGCCATTTCCTCTTGTCCTGTAATTTATTTGGGAGAAGAGGGTAGCACCACTGTCTTTACATCCTCCCTAGAGATAGTTGTAGAGTTATAAGGACTCCGAGTCTCCTTTTCTCCAGGCTAAACCCTAGGTCACTCAGTTGCTCCTCATAAGGCTTGTGCTCTAGACCCATCATCAGCTTCATCTTTGGATGAAGGTGAAACTTGAAATATGCACTCCTGAGCACATACTACCTGGCTACTCTCTAGTGTAGTCTGAGAGTTTGGAAGCATACATGTAAAAAGCAAGGAAACTTGAATGTACTTCATGTGTGTATTAATAAAGCCTCTCCAATCCAAGCAAAACAAACCACAAAACCTACAGAGTTACACCGCCACCTTCCGAGTATGTCCTTCACAGAGTATACAGGAACAACATGGTTCCGAGACTCCCTGTCACACTTAATGTACAAAACCCTGCAGCTGCTTCTGTCAGCCCCTCCTCTCACAGCAACTTGGTCTCTGCTTGCATTCCATGTACCTAGCAGGTGATCCATGTAATATTTTGACATTTTTCCCCCAGTCATGAAGTCACACATTCTCTTCCTCATATCCCTTTTCCCAGGACTCCATACTGAGTGTGAGCCTTAAGTAATGAAACAGTGTGCATGTGTCTTTAAAAATCAGCAAAACTAGAATCATTAACTTACCATTAATAGTGAACTTGCTATCAGTGTAGATAATTAGTTTCTTGATGTTTTGACTCTTTGCTTGCTCGATTGCTTTGCAGGCTGCCTTAACATTTCAACAGAACCACAGTTCAGAATGGGATTTTAAACACGTGCAATTAAAATACCAACAACATGCTCAATGTCAACACAGAACTACAAAGAATATTATTGTGATCTCTCCATCAATGGCTGTCAACATGCTGCAGAGCAGAGGTTCCCAAAATTATGTAGGCAGATGACCATTTAATGAATCAGGCAGATAGGGAGCCACTTAAGTTCCACAGAGAATAAACAAAAACTACAAAGCATTCTGATGTTCAACTCTGTATTGAAGGAGTAGCTTTTCTATTTCCAGATTTTCTATCAAAGCCACTATTAACTGCATACCAAGTTTTCGTAATTTTCTCCATACCTTTGAGGAGGAAGGATTCATATCATTTCCTATTGTCTGGAACCCCTAAAAGGGTTTTAATTTGAGTTGTTTATTTTTTGGTACCACGAAATACAATAAAAAGAGGGAGAATTGGCTGGACCTGGACCTAAGGTTGAAAAGTTCTTTAGTGACATTTGACTCCTGGCACACCACCATCACCTCTGCTTGTCCCTCACTAAAATGAAATTCCTATTTTTTAAGCAGACCAGTTCCCATTTCAGCTCATCTCCAAACACACAGCGCAGGATAGTGGCAGTACCAGCATTAAAATGAGGCGAGCATGGAAGACCAAGTGTGCTGTTGCCAACAGACATTTACCATAGCAGTAAGAAAATTACTCCTGAGAGCCTCTCCTGCTGACTGCTTGCCCAATACAGGACAGTATCATTAACAGGCAAGCCAACAGCTAGCTCCCTCCCTCTGGCCTTAGATCATATGCAAGAGATCCAAGGTGGCCCACCACTGGAGGAATGAATAGACCAATGTACTCACTCACAACACATAACATAGCAAAGGGAGTGAGTCAATTCCAAAACCAGGCCATGGAGGAAGGAAGGACCGAGGCAACCAGTCCAATCGCAATCATACAGTAATTGCCAGGAGAAAGCCTCATAATTCCCTTCCTGCTTTGATCTTGTCCTACCATTACTGGGAACTCTACTTGCCATGCACAGTCAGGGAGCCCTTTCAATAACCAGCACGTGCTCTGTACAGGCAGGCCTCCCACCCCCCCTGCAAGCAGATTCAGCTCTTATGGGGCTGCCTTCCTGCCCTGCCTCCAAGTTAATGTGGAAGGCAGGGGCATCCAGTGGTCATCTCCTAATCAGTTCCCACCCAAGGCTGGCCAGATCCCGGGCAAAAACCAGTCAGGAGGGTCTTTCTTGCCTGGTTGTGGCCATCATCCATATGCCAACCCTCATTCAGGGCTGGGGGTTTAACCCCAGCACTTCAAACATAAAGTATTCTATGCTCTATCAAACAAGTATGACACTCTCATCCTATCACAGCAAGAAGCCAATCCTCCTTTTAACCGCTATTCAGCAGCCCTCACTCCAAGGTCTGACATATACACATGAAAAAATTCAAAGGACACTACACGCATTTGAGAACCAGGCTTTCCTAAAGCAAGGCTGTTTGAAATAGCTGTGCTTGGCCTGGTATCTGGGAATTTTCAAAGTGAATTACCTTCATCAAAACTAGTAAGACACAATAAAACCTGGAGAAAACTATTTTTATTCAAGTCATAAATTGAAATAGTCATGAGTGAGGTACTGTGGTCTAGAATGCAGAGGCATTTTAGGACATTTACTACTTACATGTATTTCTGCTCTTTGATTAGTCTGCCGTCCAGGAAGTCTTTCACTAGTATTTCTGTGTCCAAGGAATGAACAATGGATTAGTTATCATAAATATTCAGAGTGGCATATGACGACGACACATGGCAAAAACAAATACAACACAGCTACTTTTCTTCTTATAAAGGGGGTGAACAGATATCCTACCTCTAACTCCCACCAGTTTAGCACAACTTGCATATCTGGACCTTCCATCAACATGCAATTACATTTGTTATCTGCTGTGCACACCTACAGCTATTTTAAAAACTTTCTGCAGTTGAATTACTGCTTCAGTCCCTAAAAGCATTATTTCTAGTTGATTTTCCCCACAGTCTTGCCTCCCAGACAAACCGATTTCTCTTTTCCCCTCAATAAGTCACTAGTCTGATAGCACTGTCATTATGAGTCTCAACAGCAGGATTACAAATTCAAAAGACGACTGGTATTGTAAATCACATACAAAACAAACATTTTTAAAAAAAAAAATCCATCCAGCTACTTACAAAGGGTGGCCTGGTCCCCAGTAGACACCTATTCCTGCACGTGCCCTGTTTCGTCCATTACCTGAGCAACAACCATCTGTATAAACAACTGCAAAGTCACCTAAAAAAGAATTATCAAAAGCAGAAGTTCAAGCACTCCTCCAAGGATGTAGACTCTTTAAGCAAAAAGAAATGTCTGTCAGCAGATTAATCCCCAAAACCTTCCTCCTCAGGGGGCCCTTCAAAAAGTTAACTGCAGAAGTCATGTAAATTCATAATGCAGAACACCAGAAGTCCCACTGCAGCTTCTTCACACTCTCACTGGTATCAAATCAGCCTGAAGAACCTCTGCCCCAGGTTCTGTTTCTCACTGCAATTCCTGTCTTCAGTCAACTTCAAAAGTTCCCACCTACATCTGTACATTTACGTGGTTTGTAATCCAGACATATATAATAATCACACCTACAACAATCAGATTAAGCTATATGTTGATATTCGTTAAAGCCAATTAAAATTACACTAAAAGTCAATACAAATATATCATGGCTGATGTTTGTTTTTAAAAGAAACATTGTTACACTAAGCCTGATGCTGCCACACACAAACCTCCCTAAAAGCTTCCTAATAATTACATTTGTTACTTATGAAGGAGCATGAAGAAAATGAAGAGTTATGAGAACAACGAGAGGCCTCACCCATGTATGAAAATTTATCCCCGCCGACTGCCGGTGCCGAGCACACCTCATCGTGTTTCACACGCTTCGCGACGCACCCCTCCGCTGCGGACTCCTCGTACGGCCTTTTGCACGTGTTGCAACACAAGATGTTTATTTCTGGTTCCTCTCTCTGGCTACCACTTTCCTCTGTTACAGCTAGAGAGCCGTGTGCCCCTTGAAAACAAAATAAAAAAGAAAAGTTAAAAATATTTAAAAAAGATTAAATTTTATTTGAAATGACTGATTCTAAATACAACAGTTGCCATCATCCATTAGCAATGCTAGTCCATTAACCACCACCACCCAAAGCGGTTATGCAAAAAATATTACAGTATGGATCAGTCATCCCTGAGCCTCGATCAAGCGGAAGAG